TTAGTGAGGAATGTCCTCTAAATGTCAAACTCCATTTTGAACGACCCACTATCTACTGTGTGGGAAGTTAACTCTTTAACCAATGTTTTGATGTAATTTCTACTAAAGAAAAAGTGTGATGTTAAAAGCATGAGCTTTGAAATCCGATCTAGGCTACACTTCTGGCAATGCTACTTATTAGCTGTGTGACCTGTGGCAGATTATTTAAACTTGCTCAGTCTCCTTTTCCTTATCTGCAAATTTAGATAATAATCTGCTGTGAAAAGATGCAGAAAATTAAATACTTGGCTTATGTAAAACACATAGTTGTTGATATATCTTAGTGCTTTCTTGAATCAGAACTTGTGTATTTCTTGTCATAGTTACACACTGTTTGTCTTACAAGGTTACGTGATAGATCTGAAAGCTGTATATTTCCATTATGTGACCATCTGTAGCTAGCATAAATTTTCCTACAGAAACTCTTAATTTCTGGTTATAAAAAATGGTAATAAACAGTAGACAGTGTAATCATCAATCTTCATACTTTTTCAGATCTCCTTAACTACTACCATGCTCCAAAATTTAACCAGTAGTTATGAAATTTGGGAAAGGTGTTCTGTAATCTTTCATTGCCATAGTTTTCTCTCTTGACACTTCCTCATTCTTTGTGTGTTTTTATTTTCCATGAAGTATTTCTTGCTTACTGAAGATTGACAGAACTCAGGTTTTATGATACATAGATGATGTCATGACTGATAGTGATAGATTTGGAAGTGTTAGAGACACGAGCGCTCAAACACTGGAGCAAGTCTGAGTTAATGAGGGACATCTAGGATTGTGTTGCTCGAGGATACTCTTCTCCTTTTAAGTAAACACTTTGGCCTTTGAGATACTGAGTTGAAAAAAAATCTGCAGATATTCTTGGTTAAGATGGGCAGGGAATGTGAACAGAAGAGTCATGAAAAGGTGATGAAAAATATGTAGGGTTGCATATCATCATCTCAAGTGTAAGCCTTGATAAACTAAACTAAAGATAGTATGAAAGAAAGAAAAGAAAAAAACAGCGAGTTTGCGTTATTCTTCAGCATCGAGGTAACATAAATTCGGAATGCTGCAAATAGTATATTTCATATGGACTAGGGTGTATTTTAAATGTGTGTTGTTCATAGGAGATGATATTTACATGTATGATATACATGTGATGATATGTGGTAGACCATAGATATACTGAATGTCTTATGTGGAACATTTTATGAACCATGGCTTTTTCAGTTAGATGAAATGGTAGCCACGGTCCCTGGAGTGTCTGGCTTTCCCTGGAGAAGGACTTAGGCTGCTAGGTCATGGAAAGGCCCTTGCCGGATCCCTAGTACACAGGGGATTTGGAGCTTTTGGGTTCTCGAAGAGTTTTTGTTATGAGTGTCTTTATTTCACAATCAGGGGGCAATCAGTCTTGTAGAAGGAGCCATTCCATCATAGGATCCAAACACATACCACACATTGATTCTTCTCTACTCCCTGGGAGATAAAGAACATAGGAGTTTTCTCTTTTCCCCAGAGATTGCATTTCTAAGGGTAATAGTCTTTCCCAGCTTTTCCAGTAGCACATATTTCTCTGCGGCTGGGTCCCTGTAGCACTGAACATGTGGTCTGTTAGGGCTTATTTTGCTTTTACTTTATTCTGAGGGAATCTTGAGGTCTGAACTATTCAGATAGAGGATGTCATAGGTAGTACATAGTTTCTTGATAACCGTGCATTAGCATAGGTTTTAATCATTACTTTTGAGTTTTCCAGGCTTCTGCTGTTCATTCCATCTCTGACTCTGATCTTTATATTCTCTGTTCTTTATCACCAATTTGCCCTATTTATATCATTCAGGTCAAAGACAAGCGATTTTGCTAAGCTCTGTCTGATCTGTGAAGAAGGCTGTCTTCCCTTGTGCTTTGGCCTTTGTCTGCTGCTTCCTCTGGGGAGCCACATGATCAGCAGCTTAGGTGGGCTGGGCACAACTGCGCCCCAGTCCGTCTCAGCGCCCTCGCTGTCCCACAATGCCTCTGCCTTCTGGAAGCACATTTCTGTCCTGTCTTACCCTCCTCACCACTGCAGCTCTAGAATATTCCGTGAAGTAGTCCACAGTGCATTCAACGTAGGGGTGATCTTGCATGGCCTAGAGGACTCCCAGGGAGAAGAGAGGACAGAGGGCAGAGCTGGAAAGGACCTTGTTGCCTGACAGTGTTCTGATCCCTCTTGTACAAGAGAGGAAAGTGAGAGGACATTCAGCAAACTGAATCCAACTCCCACACACGAAGAGAAAAGCCTCAGAATTGGGGGAAGTTTGAACCCATTTGGACTTTAGCCAGGAACGTTGGCATATTAGGTTTGCATTTGAATAAGTTGAGTTGGGTCTCATTATGGAGAACAGACTGGAGAGGGAGCCATTGAAGGCAGGGCAACTGGCCATGTAGAAAAAAACAAGGCGAGATAAGGAAGGTATAAGTTATAGTACCGGAGTTACAGGTGAAGAGGAAAAATGGATTTGAGATATTTAGGATGCAGAATCTAAGATTTTAGGACTGACTAAATGTGAGATGAAAAGGGAGCGGTCTTTGACCAAGATTGCTGATTTTGATGACTGGGTGGAGAATGATGCAAAGAGCTGTGAGGAGAAGTAAAGTGGCAGGAGAGACGTCAGCATCTGGACAAGCTTTACAGTATAGCCAAGACAAGGCATTTCTGTGAGGATGAAGCTAGTATAGTTCAGAAAGTGGAGATGTTTTCTAGTGATCTTATTTGATATAAGGGCAGAATTTAGGGCCCTTGGAGGAGTAGATGGTGGCATGTCCCTTCCTTTTGTATGACTCTTCAGTCAGACTTTTGATAGTTGAAATGCACAAGCTAAGGTTAAATGCTGGAACATTGCTCTGTGTTGCTGCTGTCTCAGGTACAGTCCTGAGCTGTGGACCAGACTGGAGACTTCCTCAGGTCGACTGTGCTCCTAGGGTTATAAAATCCCTCAGGCATCCCCGTGGCTCCTTCAGTCTCCTCCCGGTATGAAAATTTTGTGTTGTTGAAATAATCCTCTTAGTTCCTAGAACTAAGCTAGTAGTACTGCTGATCCAGTCTCTTCCTTTCTGGGTAGGCAGTGCAGCTATCAAAGCCTTCGTCCATCACCTGTTTATTCAGAGGTTCTGCTTCTTGAGTTGGGGAAAAAGTTAGCTCTTTTGGAGGAAACCTCATTCTCTTGTAGGTTATAGTCTCTGGGCTCGATAGACGTGTGTTCAATTCCTGGCTCTGTCACTTAGCAGTATTATCTTGGGTCTGAGCTCTTAACTCATCTGTGAATGGGGATAATAGTGTACTTTTCTCTTAGAGCTGAGTTTATATTAGATAGAGCATATAAGGCATTTAGTGTAGTTTTGGGCCCATAATAAATACCTAGTAAATATTATCTTTCATTTGGTATTCTTTAATTGTATACCTACAGGTTGACTAGATAAAATTTATCTTTTATCTTTCGGGGATTCCATGGCCTGAAGTTAGTAACCATTGGCATGTTTTCATGTGCTTGCAGGAATTTGGAGCTGTAACATAGTTAGTGCCATAAAACTTAAGTAGCCACCTTTTTTTTTGATGAATCAGGAAATCTGGATATGTTTAATAATTTATTTTTTGTGTAATTTTTTTTTTAAGATTCTGTGACAAAATCGTTTCTGAATAAACAAATCACCCAATATAATTTTATTTTGGCTAAACCTGGGCTTTTATTAATGTTAGATACGAGAGAAAGGATGAAGATAGTCATCTCGTACAGAAATAAGGAAAAAATATAAAAATATCTTGAGGATTGTTATATTCCAGATGTATTTGTAGATATCATTTTGATACTGAAACCAGGATTAAAAATTAGGTTTCATATTTTCTAATTGTGTTTCTATACCTATTCTCAAAATCACATTAATCTGCGTGCAATTGAATATGAATTTGCAGAAGTACATGGGAAATGATATTTCCTTCTTTTTTTTCACAGATTGGCACCTGAGCTAACAACTGTTGCCAGTCTTTTTTTTTTCCCTGCTTTTTCTCCCCAAGTTCCCCCAGTACATAGTTGTATATTTTAGTTGTGGGTCCTTCTAGTTGTGGCATGTGTGACCCCGCCTCAGCGTGGCCTGATGAGTGGTGCCATGTCTGCACCCAGGATCCGAATCAGCGAAACCTTGGGCCACCAAAGCAGAGCACACCAACTTAACCACTCGGCCACGGGGCTGGCCCCGAGATTTATTTCTAATTAGATTTTTTTCCACGGTTTGAGATGGCTAGTGAAATTGGGTGAGAAGCTGATATTGTGGTGTTTTCTGTTAGTCTTCTTATCCCTCAGTTGTCTAAGCTGAAATAGGACATTCTAACTGAGATGGATATTTCCAGTGTGCATATGTCAGTCTGAGCTCTAGTCCTTACCTGGCACTGGAATCTAAACATGTGGAAATCACTTGTTTAGCCCATATCTTCATCTATTGTGGTTACTTTTACTTAAAGTTGCCAGGAATCATTTATTTCATTAACTGAAGGGAGGTATACACCTAAACAGTTTTATTTATCTGTATGACATCATACAAATGCAATAATTTGTTGTTACACACCTTGGAGTAGAAGCTTCCCTTGTTTGATAGTTCTTATAGTCACAGATGATTGTGGTTCGTGCTGAACTGGGAGTCAGAAGGTGCCTGTGCTTGTCTCCGCTTGTCTTGCCTGGGATGATTCTCTTTGTCATCTCTGACTCTCTGTTTTCCCAGTAAAAGTATTGTCCTCTCTGTGCAGAAAGGATCAAAGGAGATGAAGTAGGTGGATACCCAAGCATGATACAGACATAAAGTGGTGGTACATTTCTAATTCAGGTGAAAAAGAAAAACACACATGCACCAGAGTGAGATTTTGCTTCAAGTAAATGACCACTTTGGTTGCAAGCTAGCTGAAGAAATAACTCAAATGTCGTTATTTTCTGTATTTTCCAACCAACCAGAACCGGGACCAGTCTTCACATCTGCCAAACGATCACTCTCTGCTATACCAAGGCCATAACTCCTTCCGGGAGAAATATTTCAGTGGGGTGACCAAAAGAATTGCCAAGGAAGAAAAATCTAGCCAGGAGTGAAAATTAAGATTTTGACAATGGAGAAAGAATAAAGATTTGATAGAAAAGACATCTGGATGTGAACTTTTAAGTATGATCCGGAAAACATGTACTGTTTTAAGTGATTTTATGTAACAAAATAAATGCTACAAAGTAAATTGAATAATTCTTGTAACATTAGCTTTTTTTATACACTATTTTGTTGTATGTGGTCTTTTGAACCTTATTTAATTTATATTTGTACTTTTAAGTATTATGGCAATTGAAAACAGTTATATTTTTGGTAACTAATTTACAAAGGGAACTAATAATGACTTTTTAAACAGGTATCTGCTGGGCATCTTATAGGCAGTCAGTAGTGATTGAGAATTTATTCACTGGATAGATTTAATTTGGTTTTTGATTGTAATTGATTTAATAAAGCTTACTGAGGATTCCTAAAATTGTGTGGTGTTCAGTGCTTTCCAGGGGGGATGTGATGAAGGAAATGAATTTTTATTTATAAAATCCGGACAAGAAAGTAATAACAGTGATAATGGTAATGATGAGAAAGGCTAAGACCTGACAACCTTGAAAGATTCCAAGCTTCTTGAGGCCTGCCCACATCTGAAGCTCGTCTGTACCTTGGATTGGCTCCTGCATTCCTAAACCTTGACTGTCGGTCCAGTTAACTACCCACAATTTTTGGGTTAGAAAGTAACTGATAGTTAACAGCAGTAACAACAACACAAATCCTTGATGGTTCGCTAATGGTATTAAGCCTAATCAGAGCTCTTTGAAATAGAAGCTGTATTTTTCTTGAAGGAGAAACTTTGCTGAGTCCACATTGTGTCCATCATGAAAATATCTTGTTTGAAAACCACTATACCCATTAATTCAGGATGCTAATAGCTTTCTTGCTTTCAGTGGTCAAATGTACCTCAGCAGGGTGGCAGTAAATGAATCCTCTCCCTTTAACCAGAGCTTATTTTTATTTATGTTATTATTATTGTAATGTTACTGCTGGCTTTTATGGACTGACAGTTTGAACGTGCATGGCCTACGACCTCCAAAAAAACAGTGCTGCCCAAGCAGAGAGAGAGAGCAGGCCGTCCACTTAGTTCTCTCCTGTCCTGCAGCTCTGAGTTTCAGCAGTGGATCTCAGACATTTTAGTGATTGTTTTATTTGGGTTTCTGAATGTGATTTGTGGTACACTGGGGAAAATCTAAAAGTCTTCAAGGGTGATTTATTTTCAATATTTCTGTTATAAACCATCTTATTTAAAATATTTTGAGCTTATATGGGGGGTGAGTTTGAAACTTTGTAGCTGACTAAATTTGGAATATGAGATTTTAGCCTTGCCCCATTTTTTGGTTGTCACCAAAATTAGTCCAAATAGTTCTGGAAACATTGCAACATTAATTTTAGTCACTTTGTCCTTAAAAATTATCCAACATTTAAACAGATATTTCAGATTATTTCTTATTACCACTAATTGAGGTCTTCTGGTCATTAATTCTTCTTCATTATTGTGAGGCTTATTTTCATATGTATCAGTAAGTTCAGTCTCCCATTCTTGAAATGTCTCTTGGCTCAGAATGAAGTCATGTAGTTATTATAAAGTTGATACTCAGAAGTGAAAAAGAAACCTGGTCACTTTCAACCAATTTTTTTTTAAACTTTTTATTAAGATTATGATAGTTTACAACCTTGTGAAATTTCAGTTGTACATTATTGTTAGTCATGTTGTAGGTGCACCACTTCACCCTTTCTGCCCTCCTTCCACCCCGCCTTTCTCCTGGTAACCACCAATCAGTTCTCTTTGTCTATATGTTTAACTTCCACCCATGAGTGGAGTCATACAGAGTTTGTCGTTCTCTATCTGGCTTATTTCGCTTAACATAGTACCCTCAAGGTCCATCCGTGTTGTTGTGAATGGGACGATTTTATCCTTTTTTATGGCTGAGTAGTATTCCATTGGATATATATACCATATCTTTATCCAATCATCGGTTGATGGGCACTTAGGTTGCTTCCACGTCTTGGCTATTGTAAATAATGCTGCAATGAACATAGGGGTGCATGGGACTTTTGGAATTGCTGATTTCAAGTTCTTTGGATAGATACTCAGTAGTAGGATGGCTGGGTCGTATGGTATTTCTATTTTTAATTTTTTGAGAAATCTCCATACTGTTTTCCATAGTGGCTGCACTGGTTTGCATTCCCACCAACAGTGTATGAGGGTTCCTTTTTCTCTCCAACATTTGTCACTTTTTGTTTTGGTTATTTTTGCCTTTCTAACAGGTGTAAGGGGATATCTTAGTATAGTTTTGATTTGCATTTCCCTAATGATTAGTGATGATGAGCATCTTTTCATGTGCCTATTGGCCATCCATATATCTTCTTTGGAGAAATGTCTGTTCATGTCCCCTGCCCAACTTTCAAACAATTTTGATTTTAGAATGGAGGTTTCAAGTCCTCTTATTCTACAAAGAGAGACTTTATTTTCTGGCATCAGGATCTTATTCCTTTCTTCCAAGTTACAGCAGATCATTTCCAGGAGTGCTTCAGTTTTATATGTATTCCTCCTGCGCTTATCAGCAGGAATATCACCCAGCAAAATGCATGCCTTTTGGATAGTCCTGGAGTATGAATTTACAGTATAATCTGTGAGTGAACCCTAGGTGGTCTGTGGGCTGGCCTATTAAATGTTTATAATATGACGAAATCTATAATTTTGTTTCTGGCATATATTAAATACCCATAAAATCCAGACGGTTACCTTCCTGGTGTTTCATCAGAAGTACCCTCCTACCTATCCGTCCGGGTGGGCATGTTTTGCTGCGATAGCTGGGAGGGAATCGTGGAGTAGGTGGTCTTTGGTGTGTTTAGCCAAAGTGGCCAGCAGATTTAAAAAAGCTTAAAATCTGCTACAAATTTCTCAGCCACTTCCTGCCCAGGGTGACCCAGGTTTGGGCCAGCTCACCACTAACTTCCTTATGACTAATTCTTTAAATACAAAGATTGAGTAATAGAACATTTTCAAACCGTTTAAACTCTGGGAGGTAGGTCTGTGTTACCACTGTTTCCTTGTGGAGGAAACTCACTTAAAATTTGAGATTCCCTATATATTTAAGAAGAGTGGTGATTACAACAACTGAAAAGAACCTTATTTCAAGTTTGGTAAGGAAAAGTAGAGTAAGAGTTAATATATTGGATCTATTGTAGTGAATGTGTTTATATTATTGGAAGAAAAATATGCTTTTAAAAAGTTTGAGACATAGAAACAGCTTTTGAGGTAATATCTTTTATTACTCTTAGAATTAAAGAAGTAGAGATTTGATTTTTTTATCATCAGGCAAGTAGATGTTAAGATCATGTTATCTAGATGCCAGTATAAGCAAATCTGGCTCTTGACTCAAAGGCCTTAGTTGTTTTGGGGTAGAAGAACTGCTGACATACTGTTCTCAAAGTATTGTCAAGTGTTGCTAATCCAAAGAGATATGGAATAAAACATAATGTTTATGTGTCGAAAATTGAAGGTGACGTCTTTTGGGGAAATGATCTTCTTTGTATATTTTAATAAATCTCCCTTGAAAAAGCACAGTGCAACTAAGCTGATGTTAATGGTTCTAACAGAAAAAAAAATCCTGTGTAGATAAAGCAGAGCATAAATAAATAAATTCATTAATGGAGCGTAGGGGTGGAAATGGAGGTGAGCGTTGCTGAGAAAATTGAAGAATTTATTGTTGAGGCCGGCTCCGTGGCTGAGTGGTTAAGTTTGTGCCCTCCGCTTCGGCTGCCCAGGGTTTCGCTAGTTCCGATCTTGGGCGCAGACATGGCACCACTCATCAGGCTGTGCTGAGGTGACATCCCACATAGCACGACCAGAGACACTCACAACTAGGATATACAACTGTCTACTGGGGGGCTTTGGGGAGAAGAAGAAGAAAAGAAAAAGATTGGCAACAGATATTAACTCAGGTCCAATCTTTAAAAAAACTTTGTTGATTTTCCTGTTTGACCAAAAGGGAATAAATTTTACCAGAATAAGGACCTTGGCTCCCTTTGGAAGAGTATGGTTTTGTTCCGTTATGAAGTTATTTAGAAAACTAAACACTTGTAAGAATTTTTTTTCTTAGAAGGATTGTATTCATAGATTAAGCGAAGTCTACTTTCATTTCCAACTCACTCCCATTTTTGTCAGATATTTATCAAGTAATGTGGTTTGTAATCCAAACAAAAAAAAAGTGCCTCAATCCAGAACATACACATGGCCACAATAACACTAGACTGATGGTGTTTGTACTTTATGAAAACATTGAGATCTTCTCTAAAACAGAGTGGTTGGAGAACATAAGGTCTAGAGTGTAAAGAGTTGTAATGGAATGATAAACATATCTGTGATTCTATCTAGCCATAGAGTCATAGAGACAGCACATTCCTGTCTATCCTTTGGGGTGAAAAGCTTACTAGAGAACTTGACCCTATTCTCTTAACAGAGGTCTGCCTCAGGATGCTCAGAATTTTCATTGTTCGGGATAAGCAAATTGACATTTAGACATAACTTGAGGCCAACCTGGAATTTGGCTCTTATCCCTTCCTTCCTAAGCTGTTGTAGACAGGCTCCTAGGGGGTTGGAGGCTAAATTGTCATGGCAATCTCTTAAGAAGCCTGGGTCCTGGAACAAAATGGGGCTTAATAGATGAATGTTAGCATAAGCCAGCTTCACTTTGTGTAACTGCTAGCCCTATTTCATGGGATAGTAGGATGTGCTTAGTATATTTTGTTCTGGAATTTGAATGTTCTTTCTAGGATAATCATATTGCAGTGATGCCAAACTGAACTGTCTAAAAAGGAATCTGCTTTGACCTCTGTGACTTTAAAATCTCTCCTTTAATCAAGGCTTCCTGACTCTCTCCTGAGGGCTTATCAGAAGAACTCTGTTTGTCTAACATCCAGCAGTGAAGATTAGCTGGGCTTATGTGTGAAGTTAGTCAAATTAAAAAAAAAAAAAAAGGTTGAGAAAATTAAAATTGAAAATGTAAATGGTACTTGAGTTGGACTTTGATGGCTTGCCCAAGTATTTTATCTAATGTGTTGTAGGTTTGTGAAGTGGATCAAGATGGTCAGAGTGGTATTGGTGAGCTTTGGAAATCTGGAAAAGCTCCTTTGTATTTGTTTATTGTTTATAATCATGGACTCGAGTATCTCATCAGAAGTCTGAGTGTTTCCAGCACAAACAATAAAACTTTTTTTTCCTACATTGTTTCATTTTTCTATACTTTATATCTGTTGGGAGATAATTCTCCATAAATGTCTTGCATTTCTGTGTATTGTTCTAAGGAGACGTGGACCCTCTGCATCCTAGACTGTCTTTTTTGGGGATGTGTTAGCACCTTTGAAAGATAGAGTATCTCCACCATCCTTGTCCCCTACCCCTTCTGAAAAGCAGTTATTAGC